GCAAGAGATATAGACAGGAGGGGTGGTATATAGATGGTAGAGCCTTCCTTAGAGCAGGGGGTGGGTGGTGGGAAGCCAGAACATGGGGGAACCAACCTGAGATGGGAGAGGGATAGTCCCTCCGAAAGTGCAGAGGAGAGAGACTCAGGCAGTGGTGCACTGGTGAATGTTTAATATCCAAATCTAGGACACGGGCTGGGGGGGGGGTAGCTCTGATTTATAGCATTTGCTGATATCCGTGGAGTTAATACTCTCACTGTGGTCAATTTCAAGCTACCAGCCTGACTTCGCTGAATACAGCGGGGGATGGGGATTCCATCAATCAGCTCTCACAGCTGGTCCAAGCTAGCCAGGGTTCAGAAACCTACAGTGAAGCCCGTGGCTATAGGGTCACAACAGGGGCCAGCCAAGCAACACAAGAGAGATGGGCCAGGCATAAAACAAACAGGAGTGAAAGGACAGGGCTCAGCCAATGGGACCCTGAGGGTTGCAGGCCCAGGTGGCTGGATGTTCCCATTCATCTTTCCTTTTTTTTTTGAGATAGTCTAGCTCTTGTCACCTAGGCTGGAATGCAGTGGCATGATCTCGGCTCAGTACAACCTCTGCCTCTGGGGTTCAAGCGATTCTCGTGTCTCAGCCTCCCCAGTAGCTGGGATTACAGGTGGGATTACCACTACACCTGGCTGATTTTTGTATTTTTAGTAGAGAGAGGGTTTTGCCGTATTGGCCAGGCTGGTCTCGAACTCCTGACCTCAAGTGATCTGCCCGCCTCAGCCTCCCAAAGTACTAGGATTATAGGTGTGAACCATTGCACCCAGCCTCTCTCTCTGTTTCTACTTGTTTTTTCCTCTTTCTTTTCTCTCATCTCTCCCTTCTCTGCTCTGGCCACCGGCTCATCACAGATGAGCAAGACATAGATCCTACCCTTAAGGAGCTTGTGAACTGATGGGGAGCCTTCTCAGGACTCAGTCTGCTGGCTGGAAAAGTGGGGGAATACCTGCTACCAGCACTCCACCAATGGGGCAGAGGCGGTGGGAAGTGCAGGGAGGCTTCTCAGACACTCAGAGAACAGGCAGGGACAGCAAGGGCCTTCCTGGCAAAGGAAGGGCACTGCCCGGCCAAAGGTGGTGAGGTGCGACAGCAAGCTGACCGGCTTGCTGGGGCTCAGATGCCAAGGGGTGTGGCTTGGGAGCCAGCGAGGCTGAAGCCAAAGCAGGGGCCTGGACCTCACCTGCCTCTGTAGGCCCAATGAGGTGCTCAACTTTATGGGAAGATAGCCAGGAGCAATTGGGCTTAGGACAGAGGTGTGGCATGGCCAGATCTGTATTTTTTTTTGAGACGGAGTCTCGCTGTGTCACCCAGGCTGGAGTGCAGTGGCCGGATCTCAGCTCACTGTAAGCTCCGCCTCCCGGGTTTAGGCCATTCTCCTGCCTCAGCCTCCCGAGTAGCTGGGACTACAGGCGCCCGCCACCTCGTCCGGCTAGTTTTTTGTATTTTTTAGTAGAGACGGGGTTTCACCGGGTTAGCCGGGATGGTCTCGATCTCCTGACCTCGTGATCGGCCCGTGTTGGCCTCCCAAAGTGCTCGGATTACAGGCTTGAACCACCGCGCCCGGCCCAGATCTGTATTTTTATTTATTTTTTTATTTTTATTTTTATTTTTTTTATTTTTATTTTTTTTTGAGACAGAGTTTCACTCTTGTTGCCCAGGCTGGAGTGCAATGATACAATCTCGACTCACTACAACCTGTGCCTCCCGGGTTCAAGCGATTCTCCTACCTCAGCCTCCCAAGTAGCTAGAATTACAGGCATGCACCATCATGCATATTTGGTATTTTTAGTAGAGACGGGATTTCATCATGTTAGTCAGACTGGTCTGGAACTCCTACCTCAGGTGATCCACCCGCCTTGGCCTTCCCAAAGTGCTGGGATTACAGACGTGAGCCACCGCACCCGGCCCAGATCTGCATTTTAGAAAGACCTTTCTCACTGCAGTCTAGGAGACAGTGAGGAGGCTGCAGTCAGCAGGTAGTGGGGAAGAGGAGGATGAAGGAGCTGCTGTCCTACTGAGCTGAGCACTGTCTGCCAGGCCCTGTTCTAAATACGTTCCATGTTACTTTTCAGACAACTCTTGGAGGTATATGCCATTAATGCTCCCATTTTACAGATAAGAAAACTAAGACTTGACAAGATTAAGGAACCAGGTAACACAGTATGAATGGCAAGAACAAATATAAGAGCCTGCCTACGGCTAGATGTGGGGATGAGGCAGAGGGAAGGATATGGGAGCAGTTCCACTCTGGTGTAAGGGGGTGGTGCCGCCTGGGAGACCTGAGGCCTGGAGGAAGATGAAGGGGCTGGAGAAGAGGAATTCAGTTTGGAATTCCTGGGGGCCTTAGTGACATCCAAGCAGGGATATCCCCTGCAAAGAGACACATTCATTCAAGTCTTCCAGGAGAGGCTGGCTAGAAGTAGATTTGAAGGTGCGCACAGGGATGTGCTTGAAGTCAGGGCATGGAGCAGCTTGGTCAGGGAGTGTGGGGTTGGGGAGAAGCAAGCCCTGAGGCTTATGCAGGTAGGCAGGGAGAGCAGCTGGCAAGGGAGTAGTGAAGGGAGCAGCCAGGGGCAGGGGGAGAAGCAGGTGGGCCTTGGGGGGACTCAGGGTGCAGGAGGGGTCATGGAGAAAAGGTGGATGTCAGCAGCATTTCAAGTAGCAGAGACTGGGTTGAGAAGGGTCTCCTAGGACCAAAGAACAGGCATCACTGCTCAGGCCTTTGTAAGGGCGTTTTCCATGGAGTGGTGGGGACAGGAGCGGGAAGCCAGGGGCTTGAGGATCCAGTGAGGAGGCGGGGACAGAATGGACCACCTACCACGCAGCGCTGGTCGGCGGCGATGCGATGGGGCAGGTGACGGTTGCGTGCAAAATAGTATCTTTATTTCTTCTTTTTTTTTTTTTTTTTTTTTTTGCGAGCGGAGTCTTGCTCTGTCACGCGGGCTGGAAGTGCAGTGCCGGATCTCAGCTCACTGCCAGCTCTGCTCGGATTTACGCATTCCTTCTGGCTCAGCCTCCGCGAGTAGCTGGGAATATAGCGCCCCAATCCGTTCGCCGCTAGTTTTTGATTTTTTGAGAACACGGGGGTTTCACGGCGTATGCCAGCGATGGCTCTCGATCTTGACCTTCGTGATCCGGTCTCGGCCACAAAATGCTGGATTCCAGGCTTGAGCACCGCGCTCGCGCTTTTTTTTTTGAAGACAGAGTTCACTTTGTCCACCAGGGCGTGGCAATGGCACGATCTTGGCTCACCGCAACCTCTGCTCTGTACTTCAACGGGGTTTCCGTCGATTCTCTCCTGCTCCACTCCTGGTAATTTGTATTTTAGTAGCAGACCGGGTTCGTGTTGTAGGGGTTTGAACTCGCACTCATGTGATCGCTGTCGCCTCCAAAGCTGGATTACGGTTAAGCCACGCACGGCCGCGTGCCTGATTCTTTCATGTCCAACATTTCCATGTAACATTTCACATACTTGATTTTGCATCTCATTTGTAAAGCTCAGTCACTGGACTCCTATTGGGCAACCCAAAGCACAGTAGACAATTCCAGCTACCAATTCCTTGCAAATGAGTCATTCTGGAAAACCAACTTTTATCACGACCACTGCAACTTCCACCCTGGGCGACAGAGTGAGAATTGTTTCACACCACCAACAAATAGCTAGCTAGGCACAGTAGTGCATGCCTATAGTCTTAGCTCCTCTACGATCCTGCCATTGCACTCCAGTCTGGGTGACAGTGAGACCCTGTTTAAAAAAATAATAAAAGTAGAGAGAGGATATAAGAAACCCCTGCATCCTGCCATCCAGCTTCAGCACTTACCAACTCAAGGTCAGTTCTGTCTCATCTTTACCCCACCTGCTCCCCACAAGCCCTGGAATATTTTGAAGCAAATCCCCGACATTACAGCAATTCATCTGTAAAGCTTTTGTATGTTTCTCCAAAAGACAACACTTTAAAAACATAACCACAGGCCGGGCGC